AAATGAGTTGGCAATCCAATAGGAAGCCTATGGAAAATATTGGGGGCAGGAAAGGCCAGGTAATTGCCAAGCTCTTAATATTATTTTTTTTGTTGCAATGCATGTTAGGTAATGCATTCAATTTATGATTAATGTTCTAATTTTACTAGAAATGTAGAATTTAGCCAGAGGTCAAAACATAAATGTATGCTAAGCAAACCAGAGTTTCAGGGAGCTGTTGGCTAATGGCTGCAACTGGTTATGAACTCAATATGGTAGAAATAATCTTTTGTGACTGCAGAGACAATGTCGTTCTCCTGGGCTTAATCTGCTTTAGGCCTAGTCTGTATGTAGGGTTTAGGCATGGAACTCTCCTCTTTTGTCATTTCGGGACTACATCAAGTATTTTTGCCGCTGCTGCCAGGCTAGTCAAGGATTAGCACAGACACACAAGGTAAGGTCAGAAAATGAGGACATTCTTTGTTAGAAAACAGACCATATTGAAATGATACACAATTTAAAATCTTTTCTAAACTGCCTAATATTTAAAATATCTAAGCAGTGCCCCCTCAGACCACATGAAAATTGCTAAGGGTCTTGACAGACCACTTAATGATTTTTTTCTGCCTGCTGTAGCAATTGTAATGCACTGTGCTAGATGTTATATTTGCAGGAAAATGTTTTTATTAGTTTTCAAATTCTTATGGAACCACAGAGACAAGTAAACAATAACCAAAACTCAATAATATAGTGAGGTAGGGAGATATATCTCTCAATCTGAAACTATATGAAATAAAATCCTACCATGCTGAATAGAAATGATTAGAAACTTCTTGTTCCTTAGAGACCCATTAACTTATGTGTTATTTTTTCTGCAGTAGCTAAATTCTATATATACTGTATTGCACATACACAATTGTGGTTTGTTCAGAAACATTGCTAAACTGCTTAATATTTAAAATTTCTAAGCAGTGGACCCCCCTCCCCCCCAATCACTTGAATATTGCTGGGTCCTGGCAGATTACTTAATGATTTTTCTGCCTGTTTTAGCAATCATAATTCACTGTGCTTGATGTAGTATGATTTTTAATTGTATTTTTGCGGACAGGCCGCGGACCACCTGAATAAGGTTCAGACTACAGTGGTACCTCAGGTTACATACGCTTCAGGTTACAGACTCCGCTAACCCAGAAATAGTGCTTCAGGTTAAGAACTTTGCTTCAGGATGAGAACAGAAATCGTGCTTCGGCAGCGAGGCGGCAGCAGTGGGAGGCCCCATTAGCTAAAGTGGTGCTTCAGGTTAAGAACGGACCTTCGGAACGAATTAAGTACTTAACCCGAGGTACCACTGTACCGTTTGGAACCCCTGGCCTAGGCAAAAAGATACATCTTTTAAAAGAAGTCTGAAGCAGCTGATGGATGATACTCCGCATCTGGCCAAGGGAGAGGCATTCCATACTTTTCATTTACCTTTGATCATATAAGAAAAAGGGTTCTGAGATACCAAAATACGACACATAACCCAGGAGTGACAACATTTAGAGGGCAGCAACATGAATACTAATATTGAAATGAACACTTGTTAATGTTTGCACTGTTACAGGTAGCATGACACGTTCTCAGTGCAAGAGACTCAAGTCATAACCACATGCCGAGACAAATATATCATTGGCCATAAGCCAAATGTTTTCTACTACTGGCTTCGTGCTAAATACTTAATGCTTTTCTGCTAGGTGCCTGAAGAAAAAGATGGTGGTGGTGGGGAAGGCATGAAAAACTGAAACACTAACAATATATGCTGCTTATAATTATGCTAGGAAAGCTCATTTCACTTTTTACATTAATATGCTCTGATTTATAAACACACATTATCTAATATAGGAGCTGCATTCACACAGAGACATTCATGAGTCTTCAATCAGCCTCTTCATTCCCTTTCCTCCTCCTCTTTTATTCCACTGAAATGAATACCTCAGTGGAGAGATCCAATGAATAGTAGGAAATAAAAACATGATTGGAATGCAATAATCATTTCTTTATCACAGCAGAAACCATCTAGAATTACAAACAATCCGGCATTAGCAAAATAACTCGTTATATCGTTGCAAAAAGACTCAAAAGTTAACATGGTGATAATTGGGTTTTTAAAAACGGAAGTATTTAAAAGCTCACTGGAAAGCAAATCTCTTGTTTTGGCAACCTCTGTGGACAGTCAATGGCAATGTTGCCTTTCACATTTGGTTTAGACAAGGGGGCTATTACTGCTACAGAGCAGGTGCAAATTTATTTTGAAAAATCCATAGGGAAGTCCATGTTTCTGAATGCTTTGATGTATGATTTATGATCAGCAATTATAATGCAGAGCCAATCATTTAACAGCAGGCTAGCTTATGTTTATGAAAAAATAATGACTTTCTTGCTATCACTCTCAGCTGAAGAATGATTGTTATAAATCAGTATGGTATTGAGGAGTCACCATTCTAAGAGTATTACTTTAATAATATACATTTTTTCCTTCATGTTATGCCACAAAGATAAATTATCTTTCAAAGATATACAAATGGGTGGAATCACTGGTGCACAGCAAGGCTGCAGTGATCTGTATATACAAAACAGAACAGCAAACAACATATCCAATTGCCTAGAAAACTAGAGGGGAAAGGTTTTTAAGCCGGTTTTAGTATGATCAGGTGGTCAAATGAACCATCAGAACATGGTTAAGCAACATAAGGCAAATTTCAGCAAAAAAGGAAAGGCACTGGGAGATCACAAACTGTGATCCCATAGCATGTTTATGGTTGCTAAATACTGGCTAGTGTGTACTGTATTTACTGTGGAGGAGTATGTATCTGTCTGAGTTCCACAGAAGTATCCTTGGGAATGTTCCTCTGAAAAACACAATCTTCCAAATATGAACAAATATTTTGTAAGTGAATTTTTGTTATGCAATTATATTTTTTCTATATATGATTTAGCACTTTTACATCTCCACCTTTTATAGTTTCATTTGCCTTGAATGCTCATGGTTTACAAAGGGGATCCACCAATGTCTTTTTTTTATAATCATATTTCAGGACCCCATGAATTATGACCCATTGGTTCAAACTTCTATCCTGAAATGAAGCCAAATATTGGGACAGAGAAAGTCAAGAGCCATTGTTCCAGGAATGAATAGTTCTTACTGAGTGAGGAGAAATGTTACCATCATTCATGAGAATATATGCAAAAGAAGAAAACACAAAACGGTTTAAATGAAACCTTTTATTAAGTACAGGAGAAATTACCGTATTTTTTGCACCATAACACTCACTTTTTTCCTCCTAGAAAGTAAGGGGAAATGTCTGTGCGTGTTATGGAGGGAATGCTTACGGGCGGCATGCCTACGGATTTTCCTCCTCTAAAAACTACATGTGTGTTATGGTCGGGTGCGTGTTATAGAGCGAAAAATACGGTAATTCTGAAGTCTCCTCAAACACTTTGGTAATTCTCCAGTGTTTATGTAATTGGTGAATCTGAAAACTGAAAACTAATTAAAATAAATTATATTCCTTATTTCAATTTTCTTATACTGTACACAAATCCATTTGATAATTGTTCATGTAACAGAAGAATCAGGATTCACCACTGATTTATTTCATCTTACTTCACAAGCACTATCTGCCTAACCTATGTAGCGGCGCTTACAATGTTACCATTCTTACACCCCTCCAAATTTATCTGATGGAAGCTGTTATTATATAAACTAGAAAGAAAAGCACTTTGATTCAGAGTTCCCATGTAAGAGCATGTGTGTAGAAAGTGTGCTTCATGATGCTTTGGCAGCCAGCACCTGCACAAAAGTACAATACTATTTTGAGATGATTTAGTATGTCAACTATGTGGAAGGGAAACCCTTGAGCATGCTGAAGTAGCATGTATGTGGATCTTACTCCAAAAAAAAAAAAAAAAAAAAGCTGTCTTCCTTCAAATTTATATCCTGAGGAATTAATATGTAGAGGAAACTCATTGTCATTTGAAAATGGAGTGCATGATGTGAGCTTCTCTGAAAAAACAAATTTGGTATATAGCCAAATCTGACTGAAGTCCTTTCATGTACTGAGAAGTGTGACTATTGCAGGCTGAATGCTCCTTAAAACAAGAACATTTATGCTTTATCTAGACACAGGATAATAAGCATGCAGTATAATTCTGGCTCAACACACGTTAAGCTAGAACAGACAACAGCTAAACAGAGAGACACACATCATTTATGCTCAGCAGAGCAGTATGCGATCTAAAAGTAATTACCAATGTGAACTGATGTCTAGAAGCACTCTTACATTTCTGAGCATATACATTAATTCTCTCCCTTGACAGCAGGGTAATTGGCAATCGGAATACAATGAAATAATTAATAATAAAACAACCAGCACAAGATAGTCCAAAGCCATCAATGAGAGGTGCAGCAGTAAACAGACAATATATCCTAAAGCTGTTGGTTTATCTAATTCCCAGGAGTGTTAAGAAGACTATTACAGTTGCTTTATTATCAAGAAGTAATTTGAAAAAGTGCCTACAAATATACTTTTAAAACACTTTAGAGCTAAATGAATTTAAGTATTGAATGTTTGCACTTGTTGTAATCATGTACTTTTGTCATACTATGTACAGTCAAACCTCGGATCCCAAACACCTCCGTTTTGGAACGTTTTGGCTCCCGAACGCCGAAAACCCGGAAGTAAATGCTCCATTTTTGGAAGCCGAATGCTCAAGGCGGCTTCCGTTTGAGTGCAGCAAGCTCCTGCAACCAATCAGAAGCTGTGCCTCAGTTGTTGAACATTTCGGAAGCTGAACAGGCTTCCAGAATGGATTATGTTCGACAACCGAGGTTTGACTGTATAATTTAATCCTCCCACCCCGCCCAAGTTTACCTGAAGTGTAGCTCACATGCTTTCCTTTTTCTTACTACAAAATAGTTGCTCTAAAACGTAAGTGCCAGCTTGTAGATCAAGATGGCAATGAAATAATGGAGCATACAAACATATTTTTCACATCAGGAAGAAAGATTCCTTTATTTGGTGCAGTTCATCTCTCACCAAGGAAGCTTTTAACTACGGTTCTGTAGTAAACAATGGTAGTTGGCTTCGTTGAAGCAGAATGGGAAGTGCTGTTCAACTTGCATTCATGTAGCTTCAAATATCTGATTTTAAGAAACAGCCATGGTTGCCACTTAGATTCCAGTAATAATTAGGCCTTTCATCAAATATATACAGCACTGTGACCTACTAGCTTTCAGCTTCACTCTTTTTCAATCCAAATCTCTTGCAAGCTTTCTCAAATGCCACTTGTCCCATGAGAAATGTGATGGTAAAATTTCGTTTATACCAATCTCTAAATTTCAGAACCAAGGAAACAAAAAAAACATAAAACACAATTAGCCTTCTTGAAATTATTACTGACAGTAAAAGATGTAAGATTTTGAGTTGACTTAATCGGTGCTTTTTCTTTCCTTGCCAATTAAAGCAAAATTACTTTAAGTTTTTAAAGTGCTTATTCAGATGCCCTACTTCATAATCCATGTGTGATAATGCATGGCTCCAGGCAAGTATCTACATATTGCAGATAGGCTTTTAAAGAAACTTGATGACTAATTATATCTGTAGTTACATAAGCTATAATAATGTGATACCAGTGCAGTGAGGAAAGAGCTTAAGGGACATCCCAGTTATTTCTGTTTAAAGGATTATTGTACACTTATGTGTAAAAACTAAACCAAAAAATATTTATCAAAGACTTGACCCAGTATATCAAAACCATTGACCTAAGTAAACACCAGGACAGATGAATATCTTTTTAATGACGGAATAAACATTTATAGTGAAGTGAATCTATGCACATCTACTCAGTAGTAAGTACCATTAAGTTCAATGGTACTTGCTCCCAGGGAAGTGAGTATAAGTCTGCAGACTAATATTGTGTTAATATGCCTTAGAAAGTTGCTTGGTTACCTGATTAACATTCAATGTTATTCCCCTCCTTCCCAGATTCCTTTCTTTGTATGCATATTTGTTTTATTAAATTGTGAATTTGTAGAGAGGATTATGCACTATAAATTGCTGTATGATGCCTAGCATAACAGTAGGAAAAGCATAAATAATTAATTATGGTAAAGCAAAGATTCTGACTCTTAATGGAATAGCAAAATGGGGAATCAGGTGGCAGCAAAGAAACAAGATCTGTGTGGTTCAGAAAAGGTTTTGCTAAAAAAAAGGCAGACATGAACAAGAAAGATAGAACTGCCTACACAGATAAAGAGACACAATTGTTCCAGGAATCATATTCTCACCTGTTATAATAGAAATGTTTTTTAAAGTTTTTACTTAAAAAGGCTTTGTAAAATTCAGCCATTTCTTCTGCAGACAATGTTATTTTCTGGCCTGAAATTAAAAAATCACAATACCTAAGTCAGAATGTTTTAATCATCATACCAGTACAAACATTTAAACATAAATCCCTTGAAAAACTGAACTTGAATTTTCAAACACTCAGACTGTAGTTGTAAGTTTTCCTATGAATGTCTTCGTTTGTCTTCCATAAATCACAAACTCTAAGCTTCCTTTCCTATATGTAATCAATGAATAATAGTGACTTTATGGGATTTTTGAGAGTGCAGTACTAAAGGCAATATCCCCCCCCCCCCTTCTTAGAAACTGAGAAGCTGCAGATTCATAGCATAACCTGGAATTCAGGTGTAACCTCTCTAGGCTTCTGCCATAAACTATAAGATTCTCATTACACTCTTCTCTGAGTTCTGTCTCTGTTTTGTAAATTCAGTGCCAAGAAGTAACACCCTTATACAGAAAGACAAAGTTTGCTTAAGAAATAATTATTATTTATGCTAGATTAGAACATTTTCTAAAATGTAAATCAGAATCCTCCCCATAAGAAAGTGCTGTGAAATGTAGAAACAATCTAACCTTTTTCATCTCTCAGTTGTAGACCTTTGGCTTTCAATTTGGAATAGACAAATTCTTCTTTTTCCTGAAACAGGATCAGGAAATTTTAGAATATAAGGTTTTTGGCATCTTAGTTTGCTTATTTCGCCTCAGCAATAACTGCTACCAAGTGTAGGACTTATCCCTGATCCCACTCCATCAAATATATTAACTGGCTGACTAGACGATCTTCAGCAAACAATTTATGGATTATTTTGCAAATAAGCAATCTGTAATGCAGGAAAATTACTGGGGTAACTTCTTACTAGCCTACTTATCTATTTGGTTGACCTGCAGGCTTGGGAAAGGGTCATACAGCAGTACATTCAGTTCTCTGTCCCTTCCATCTGTAACAGGAGAGGCTGAATTCGTTCCTGCAGGCAGTGATTTTTACCAGAGTGACATCATAAAATATATTATTTGGGGCATTTATGATTAAAAATTATTCTTCTGATTCTATTTTATTCTTAATAACTACGGGGTGCAAAGATCAGGCCTCATACAATAAGGCAGCAGCAAAAAAACATGTTGGATGCCTCTCAGCAATTCTCCCTACAAACTTTTAAGGACTCCCAGCACCACCAAGTGGTTTTACACCTCCTCTGCATGCTTACCTTTCTAAATGATATATTCTGGTCTGCCCAGAACTGTTGATTCCAAACCTGAGTTTCCTGTCTAAGCTCTCTAAGCCTTCGTTCCAATGGGGATTCGTGTTTGGATATATAAAATATTACTGGTCGGAGGTTTGAACATCGATCAGGAGGACCAATCCAATCGTGGCAAGAGTGTGAAGGAGGGCAAAAACTTGCAGCCTTAAAAAAAGAGAGGGTTTTTTTTAATAGTACGTCGTCCCCCCACAAACAAAGGCACAACAAACTTTTTCAATTTTATCTGAAAACCTAAGGCACCCAAGACACAAAAAGTTAAGAAGTGAGCATTGACAGGTCTCTAGATCACATTTGTTCCAGTTCACATTGGGAGAAAAATCTAACAAATATGATATCAAAGATAATTTATGTGGCCCATAACCATGTATTTCCTAGCCTATCTTTGTAGCCAAAAGGAATAAAAAAGGGGTTTAAAATTAACGAATTAAAGGAGAGGTGCTCACAATGACGATCTGCACCCAGCACCAATTTCTGCATTTGCGCAATACAGGAGTCTAATAAATGGCATATGCATAGTAACTGAAGAACATAAACCGAAATTAAGCCTATGTTTTCAGTATCTCACTTGGTAGTAAATCCATTTTAAATGAATAGGCCTTACTTCCAAGTAAACTTGGCTAGGATCATCATGCAAGAATACTGTATAATATCCACTGTGTCTACCTACTAAAACCTACAATCTGCCATATTTCTAAAAAAAAGGAAAGACGATAAGTAACAGTATGCAACTACAGTATTCAAATCAGCATAGCCTGCCAGTTTGTTATCATTTTGGAATACAGCTCATATGTGTTGATAGTTCCCATCCCAAACAGACTTTGAGATACCATCATATGCAAATATGTTAAAAGAATCACAGTAGTAGTGTTCAGGCACCTGCTTTTATAAATTATTTTTAAAAGCAGAGATGGGAGGGGGGAGTGCTCCTGCTCACACATGCTCTGCCCACAGCAACCCAGAGCACATCGCTCCCAGCTATGTGGAGTGAGTGTGTGTGTGTGTGTGTTGGTTTTTTTTACATACATTTGCTTGAACACAATACAACATACATTTATTTAAGCTCTACTTATGTTCAAGCAATTTCAAGCAGAAGTCCTCTGCAGACCTACCCTGTACAACACAGGGAAAGTAGGGAAATGAGGAGGGTGCAAATGTGTTGAGGATGCTGGGGGCAGGGTCTTGCTAACCCAGCCCCTAAGATAAGCCGTTCTGGCTGTCCTGGCTGTGGGGATGTAGCCATCTCTGTAGTGGTGTCCTGACTACAGAATCTTCCCCACCTACAGATGCAGTCAACCTGTAAATTGATAGGCTTCTGGTGCCAAATTGAAATGCACTTATTCATCCAAACATTTAGTGGTGCCAATTAGACAGGCCAAGGTTTTGGAATTTGGGGAATATTATGTCTGTTGATAAATTGTATCTGTATTTGATGCTAATTTTTGTCCTTATGTCTTATTGTTAGTATGCATTTTTATCTGTATTTTACTGATTTGTTTGTGAACTGCCCAGGGATTCATTTGAATGAAGGACTATTTAGAAGTGTGACAAACTAAAACTGGGAAACACTAAGTGCACAAGCAGCACTGGATTCAGCTAACAGTTATTTGTGCTTATTTTGTCTCATATAAATAAGACCAAAAAGCGGTTATCACCCATCATCTGAAAGCCATTGATGGCGTTGGCTGAGCTGCTGCTGTGATGTCACAGAATGCTCACACACATGCTAACTGATTTTGAAGGAAACAGTGACAGAATGTTAATAATAAAGTGGAAGAGTGGATTGCCTGGGGAAATGATTCAAGGAGCATCTAGCACTGTTTCTCAAACGTTAGTTCCTAGCTGTTGTTGAACTATAATGGAGTTGTAGTTCAGCTGGGCGCCTATATTTGAGAAACACGAAGAGGTAGCTCAAGGAAACATGTAGAGCATGAGACTCAAATTTGTTGTGGGTTCGAACCCCACATGGGGTAAAAAGATTCCTGCATGGCAGGAGGTTGAACTAGATGACCCTTGTGGGGTCTGTGAAATCCTTCCCCATTTTATCTTCATAATCTTGGGTCAACCACTACACCAGCTTTTCCTAACCTTAAACCCTCCAGGTGTCTTGAACTCCTCCCACTGCATGCAAAAAGTCCCATGTTTAATGTCTAGCAACTGCAGGTAGGGCCATGGAAGACTCCTGCTTGAAGCCCTGAAGTGATGCCCACTGCAGTGACCCAATGGTTCAAAGCAGCTTCCCACATCCCCATCCCTCAGCCTGACCTGCTTCACAGTTGTTAGGAAGAGAAAATGGGGATGGAAAGGAACCAGTATGGTGTAGTGGTTTGCTGGTCTTGAACCACGATGGGGTAAGATCCAGGTTCAAATTCCTGCTCCGGCCACAAAGCTCACCAGGTGAGCTTGAGCCAGTTACTTCCCATGCAGCCTCACCTACCTCACAGGGCTGTTGTGAGGATACCATGGGGGGGGGGCAGGGAGAGAAGAGAACCAAGCAGGCTGCCTTGAACTCACTGTAGGAAAAGCAGAATATAGACTGTAATGAGTAAGAAAAGACACGTAGGTTCAGACCTCCTTGAATAGTGGGATATAAATAGCCAGTTTGAGTCCCCTTCAGGTGAAACAGTGGGTATGAATAAACATGATAAATAAAAATAATAGGAGAAATGAAACGGAAAAAATAAGAATTAGGTTGGAAAGCAGAGGCCTCAGTTTGAAACAAATACAAGCAGCAATAACCTCACCCAAAGTTTCTTTGGAAGTAAGGCTCGCTGTGCTGAACAGGGCTTACTCCCGAGTAAATGTACTTAGGACGCACCACCGACCTTGGTCGCATAGTTGTCAACTTTTCTCTTTTCTTGCGAGGAATCCTATTCGCAATAAGGGAATTCCTTAAAAAAGGGGGAAAGTTGACAGCCATGCTGGTGTCTCTGAGGGGAAACCCCCGCCATACTTTCCCTCGCCTCCAATCTCCCCCACAGCCCCCATTACCCGGCTTTCGTGGGGCGGAGATACACCCCCGGCCTCAGTCCCTCCGCCGCGAGGGGAATCCCCGGGGGACGAGGAGGAAAAACGGCCGCAACATGCGCGTGAAGCCGCCGCCGCCGGGCGCCTGAGGGAAACTCGGCTCTTCACAGCCGCCGCCATCTTTCGGCGCACGACCGACGCATGCGCACGACGACCCCTTCCACTCGGTCGCCGGGCAGATAACCGGCGCGCGCAAGGTCCGCTCCAACCCTCGATAACAGGCAACGGTCGACTTCTGCCTTTCCGCTTTACGGCAGGGCGTCGCGAACGCCAAACGTCGCGATCCCTCTCCAGCCTCAACAAAATAGCCGTAGGGCGGGGAAGGCGGAGAGAGGGGGGAAAAAGGACGAGGGCGCATGCGCGCACGCGCCAAGAGAGGCTCAGGTTAGTCCCCGCCTCAGGTTAAGGCAGGCTAAGCTGAGGGAAGAGGAGAGTGTGAGGCGACGGTGGGTTGGACGGCGGGGCTGAAAGGAGCCTGGTAGCTGTGGGATGGCCGGCGTGGCACGGCTGGCGCAGAGGGAGCGAGGCCGGAGTCGCCTCGCTGCGCCTCCCCGGCGCCCCTGAAGGAGAGGCGATGCGCTGACCAGAAAGGTGAGGGGCCGGGTGGGCGAGGGGCTAAAAGGCCTGTTGTTGTTTATTATGAGTATCCCCTGAGGAAGGCAGAACAAGGCGAAGCTAAAATAAAAATGGAGGCTCATCCCCCAACAACCTCACGCCCTTGGTTGCGGGTTCAGAGAGACTCGTGACAAGTGGTCGTGGGAACCCGGTGCGAGGCGCTCGGTGTTGCAGCGCGGCGGCTGGTAGGTCCTTGCTCCGCTTGCGTGTTGAGGGAGAGATAATTCACCAGAAGACGGGAAGCCATGCTAAGGGGGCTGGAATAGGGAGGCGAGTAAGTGCGGGCTGTAAAACGGCTACGTGTGAGTGGTAAGTGAGTGGGAGATATTGCAGCCAGGGTGGCAGGAGAAGGGCTTCCACCTGATAAGAAAGAGGGGCAGGGCTCGTCCCACCTTCATGCTCACAACCCGCGTCTACTGGAAGTTGTCGTTATTTAATAAACTTCTATACCACAGGGCGGTTTGCAATATAAAAACACCAAAGTGCATAGTAACAAGTTGCTCCAGTTGGTGAGGAGGATAGTAATCCTTACCTCTCGCTTTGCACACTGGCTTCCTTCCAGACGTAGACGCTGCTGCGTAGGGTTGTAGATCTCATATTGCCTGGTTTAAAAACAAATAAAAAGTGAAAAGTTCCAGGCCTGGTCCTATTGGGGCAACTTGGGAAGGGCCCGATCTGGGTAGGGGAGGGTCTCGGGACGCAGAGCGCCCGTGACGCGCCTCTTTTGCTCACCCGGTAATTTCACCCTCTTGCCAAAAGCGGATTATACGCAGGAGAGGTTGGTCGGTAGGCGCAATGGTTTGATCCGAGGGGACGAACGCTTTGGGGCCGGTGGGAAGAGGCCGACCCTACCTACTTGCGGGGACGGGCGGAGGAGTGGTTGTTGTTGTTGTTTTGGGGGGTGCAGAGCCGCCTGGGCCACGTTGCGCGGATTGGAAACCGCGGCGTGGGCATCATGGCACGCGCGGGCGCATTTGGACACCGGTTGTAGGATTGCGTGGCGGGGAGGGGAAGTGGGGAGCAGCTGGGTGGCGTCTTTGTAGCGGGGGCAAGGCATAGTAGGGCTGGGTGAGTGGCTACACCCTGTAGGGGAGAGGGAATCCCCCTGTGGGGCGGGAAAGGGATCTTACGGATTTTAAAGTTGTTTGGAGAGGGAGATGCCGGCCTAGGCCTGGCAAAACGCGGCGAAGGTAATTTTCCTTCCTTTCTCCCCACCACCCCTTCCTCCATCGAGCTGCTGAAGCTGCTTCCCGTTTTCCTGGCGCCACCCTCCGGCTTTGAGCCGCTCCCGGAGAAGCGACTCGGATGCCCCAGGCGGAATTAGAGTGTCCGGCATTGTGAAGTCACTGGGGACCGAGGGCGGCGAGGGAGGCTGCCCGCGAGCTCCGCCTGGGGGGAAGCGGCCCGAGCTCGGGGCTGATTCCCGGCTTCCTTCCTGCAGGAATGTAGGGTTGATATAGGGGGCGGGGGATCAAGCTCTGTGCACGGGGACTCGCTTCCCCCAAGGGGCTTCTCGCTGGGGTGAGAACGGGGCGGGCGCCGCTGGCTTTGTGTGTATGTGGGGTGGTGGGTGGGGCAGGGAGGGGGAGCTCCCGGGTGGGAGGGCGGCTGCAGCAAGAGGCAGATGAACTGGAGACAAGGCCATATAGGCAGGGAGGGAATTGGGAAGATCCCAAGGAGGTATTCAGATGTTGCCTGGCCAAAGGTCTGCTTGCTGTGGTTTGAAATGTTGAGAGGGCACAGCTGCCTTATTGCTGGGGGCGTTGGAGAGAGGAAAGTGCAAGTGTAGTACTGACTGTACTGGCTATATTATCATGTATCTCATTACTAGTCTGACCAGGGCAAGTGAAGATGAGCGGTATCTTCTTTTCCTTGTTTAGCTGCTGTCTTTTTCTGGCACCAGAAGAGTAATGTTTGGGAAGCAGATGGCACTATCATCTTTAATTTTCTTCCTCAGTGCATCAGCTACTTTGTTCTGCCTCGCCTGTGATGTCTAATGACAAAGGAAAGAAAACCCTCTTCTTGGTGTGCATATGATGGGGGGGGCAGGAGAGGCTCATGAAACATACTGTTTACTGCTTTAGTTAAAATGCATAGGATCAAGCCGTTAGTGTGTGACAGTAAACAAAATTCTAGAGATACCCTTTTAAAATATTTTTTTGAAAAGATCCAGAGATGTCATGCTTTTTAAACTGTCATTTCATGAAACTCAATGGGACATACATAGGGTAAGTCCTCTTTTGTTTGTGGACAGGTATTTCCAAGACTAGATGTTGTTAAAAAGTGAAATGTTAGGTCTTTGTAGAATTAGAGCAGAAAAGTTGAATTTTCAAAATATTGACTAACAAGCAGACATGTATTTCAAGCATCGGTTATATCTGATTGTATCTTTGCATTATTTCTAGCTCTGTTGGAACTGGATGAAGAAAAAGTATGGATATGGGTAACCAACATCCTTCCATTAAGAGGCTACAAGAAATACAGAAAGAAGTCAAAGAGTTTGAGTCACAAGTAATATCCTTCAGTGGTCTGTCTAGTGACAGAGCTTACAAGAAACTAGAGAGAGTTTTGACTAAACAACTTTTTGAAATCGATTCTGTGGATGCTGAAGGCAGAGGTGATGTTCAGCAAGCCAGGAAGAGGGCTGCCCAGGAAACTGAAAGACTGCTTAAGGAACTGGAGCAGAATGCAAACCACCCCCAAAGGTTGGAGATTGAATCCCTGTTTAATGAAGCACAATCATTGGTGGAACAAGAAATCACAGCTTTTTACAAAGGAGGCAATTGTGTAACTGAGGAATTTGAAGAAGGTATTCAGGATATCATCTTTAGGCTCACTCAGGTGAAAACTGGAGGGAAACTCTCTCTACGGAAAGCCAGGTATCGCACTCTGACCAAAGTGTGTGCTGTTCAAGAAATTATAGACAGTTGTACAAAGCAGCAGCCTTCACTGCCATTGTCCAGTGATGCACATCCTTCTGTCTCTAAGATTAATTCTGTCATGGTTGATGTGAACAAAGCGAAAGGGACCCTTATTGCTGTTTTAATGGGAGTAAATAACAATGAGACCTGTAGACATTTATCTTGCGTGCTCACTGGCCTGATTGCTGATCTGGATGCCTTAGATGTATGTGGCCGTCCAGAAATAAGGAACTACCGTAAAGAAGTTGTGGAGGAGATCAACAAATTGCAGAAATACCTGGATCTTGAAGAAGAAGCTGATGCCACTTCTGCTTATGACTTGGCACAAAACAGATGCATTATAAAAATTGAGGAAATCCGCAAAAAGATGAAAGAGATTCATGCTTCTCTTTTAAAAGTAGAGAGAGCTTCAGATTTATACCTGAAGTCAAAAGCAGAACTGCAAGGGTTAATTGCACAGTTGGATGAAGTGAGTCCAGGCAAAAATCCTTGTATCCGAGAAGCCAGGAGGAGAGCAGTGATAGAAGTACAAACCCTCATAACATATATTGACTTAAAGGAAGCACTTGTCAAGCGACAAATGTTTGCAGAGCAAACAGAAGCAGAACCCGCATCACATAAAGCTGTTTGGAATATTCTTGGAAACGTGTCCCAAATTCAGCAAGAGGTGCTGTCTTTCGATGGAAACAGAACTGATAAGAACTACATGAGACTAGAGGAGCTCCTCACCAAACAACTTCTAGCTCTTGATGCTATAGACCCACAAGGGGATGAGCACTCAAAAGCAGCCAGGAAGCAGGCAGTGAAGCTTGCGCAGAATATTCTTTACTACTTAGACATGAAAACAGATGAATGGGAATATTAAATAACAGAGGTCTTGTGCTGGACATTGCTTTCTCTCTTGCACTTTACGTCGACCAATCTCCCATAGACACAAGACCAAAAGTTTATTTGCTCATCACTTACAGGCCAAGTAAATGTTGGACTGAGCTATGCTGCAGCTGTCTTGTGTTGTCGCAGTCGGGCAATGACAGCAATCATGCCATTTGTGTTAGTTTTGGTCACAGCCATCTTTCCCCCATGATTTGTGATGAAGTGTTGCAGAACTGCCAAACCATCCTGTATAGAATTCTTCTACACAGTGAGAGAATGCTATCTGTCCAACATGTTTTGTTTAAGGAGTCAAAGTGAAACTGAAGGAGAGAAGACAAAGAGCTAATGTCTGTTAGCCATAAACCACCTTAGATGTCACATTTTTCTGCCACTGCCCAGTTACAATCCAAAGGATTAAATGCAAATTGGTCATGGCCTTTTTTGTATGTGCATTTGATTTAGTTTCGCTGATCTCTTGCCTAAGGTTTGGCTTGATTACATACAGTGTTTAATAGTTAGGGCCTAATATAGGACTGTGTGTAGTAACAGTTTTTGCACTTATAAACTGCAGGCTGCATTTTGAAGCAATGTACTGATTCATATAGGCGTAGGTTGTGTGCAGTTACACTATGACTAGTGGTCATTCTGAAAGCAGTTTTCTGTTTATAAACCAGGGCTGACAGCATTGGTTGGAAAAAATTCTATATGTTGTTGAAAAACCAATAAAATATAGCTTTTGAAGAATTAAGCTGAATTCTTCAATAGTCAAGAGACACCTCGCTTCACCCCTCCCCCCAAAACCTGGGCTCTTAACGGTTGTAGAACTACTTTAGCCAAATTTTGTGATGTCTAAAATAACTTGCTTCCTGACACGCTGGGCAGCTTCTAAATGACTCCTTTGCATTTTTCTGATTTGAATGAAATTATTGCAGCTTTTGGCATGATAAAAAATGAAGTAAGTGCTTTTACACATGAATTTGGCCGGAAACCATTAGTGTTCGTCACAGTTTCATGTGTTGCTGATACGCTCCAAATCCTTCTGGACTTAGTTCCTTTCAGTTATTTTGGTGAGCTTATGATAGTATCCTTAGCTATGTGTGATGGCAAGATGTTTGTACTTATATGCCTTAGATATGTGTGGTCTGCTATACTTATATAGTTTTGAATCTTTCAGGCAGTTGGAATGGCAAACACTTCAAAGTGTTTCTATTTTTGATTGAAGCATAGTTGTCTATTGTGTTAGCTGTATTGATTTAGTTGCATGTATTGTTATCATTTGGTAATTGCTGCTGTGTGTTTCTTTCTCCTCCGCCCCCGCTCCATTAACCCAATGAATTCCCTGAATCCTTAGAGGAGCCTTACAACTTAGTAACTGTCAGATCTTATTATGTCTGACCATATTCCTAAATAAACTGAACTCATATTCAGTGTAGATTGTATGCTATCCTGTTAGTAGTTTTGGGAAGACGAAACCAGCATCCATCAGAGTATTTGTAGAGTGCATTCTTAGTGGCATGCAGAAATCAGCAGTAGATAGAAAAAAGTTGTAAAAGAAGTAACCAGAGTTTCTCAGATAGCTCCTGTAAACAAAATTGCTGGCTTATGGAAGATTATTTCTTTGAAATGGCTTATAAATGTAGATCTTGGATTTGTAAATAGAGTTTCAATATGCAATTAAAAGAAGCAAGGCTATCCTTAGGAGACGTGCCTTTTTAAGCGACACTTGAATTTACAGCACCTTATAGCTACGACTAGCTGGCTTCATGCTGCTTCCCAGTGAAGTAGTCTACCCTTCAGACTGCTTCTACCCTTTAGCTCTAATATGGATAAAAAATATTCTGCCACATTTGCAGGGCAAGAAGCTCATTCAAAGCTTGGTGTTACCTCTTTGTGTTTATAGGCACTTGCTTAGCAAATTTTTGTCAAGGAAATTTATGGATTCAGTTTCAGTCTAGGTTAAATAGAATCCAATGCTAAACAACAGACTTGTTGGATCCTTCGCCATGAATGTCTTTCCTTTGCCCTTTTCTGCTTTTTTCCGGTTTGAGTCCTTAATGAATTGGTTAGCATCTATAACTAAAAGTAGTTCACTTTCAGTAGGTTCTTTTAGCCATAAAGGTTTTGAACCTAAGTGGTGTGCATATAGAGTCCCCATGTGCC